ATTCCTGCTTTTCCCACCCCGATTCCTGCTTTTCCCACCCCGATTCCTGCTTTTCCCACCCCGATTCCTGCTTTTCCCACCCCGATTCCTGCTTTACCCTCTGATTCCTGCTTTTCCCACCCTGATTCCTGCTTTTCCCACCCTAATTCCTGCTTTTCCCACCGTGATTCCTGCTTTTCCCATCCTGATTCCTGCTTTTCCCATCCTGATTCCTGCTTTTCCCACTGTGATTCCTGCTTTTCCCACCGTGATTCCTGCTTTTCCCACCCTAATTCCTGCTTTTCCCTCTGATTCCTGCTTTTCCCACCGTGATTCCTGCTTTTCCCACTGTGATTCCTGCTTTTCCCACCCTGATTCCTGCTTTTCCCACCCTGATTCCTGCTTTTCCCAGCGCAGACCAGCAGTGAGGTGGTGCGGACGATGCTGCGCATGAGCGAGGTGACCACGGCCTCGGGTGCCTCCCACACTCAGCCCCTTTCCTCCAATGAGGTGGGTCATTGGAATTCCTAAATTCCCCAAAATAACCCCCAAAATACCCCAAAAACCACCCCAAAACCGGCCCACAAACCACCCCAAAAATAACCCCAAATCCCTCCCTGAAAATACCCCAAAAACCACCTCGAAAACCAGCCCAAAAAATTCCAAAAACATCCCAAAACCCACCCCAAGAACGTCCCGGAAACCACCCCAAAATAACCCCAAATCCCTCCCCAGAAATACTTCAAAAACCACCACAAAAATACCCCAAAATAATAACCCCAAAAACCAGCCCAAAAACATGCCAAAACCCAGCCCAAAAACATCCCAGAAACCACCCCAAAATAACCCCAAATCCCTCCCCAAAAATACCCCAAAAACCACCACAAAAATACCCCAAAATAATAACCCAAATAACCACCCCAAAACCATCCCAAAATAACCCCAAATCCCTCCCCAAAAATACCCCAAAAAACACCTCAAAACCACCTCGAAAACCAGCCCAAAAAATTCCAAAAACATCCCAAAACTCACCCCAAAATAACCCCAAATCCCTCCCCAAAAACATGCCAAAAACCACCCCAAAAATACCCCAAAATAACCTCAAATCCCTCCCCAAAAACATTCCAAAACCACCCCAAGAACATTCCAGAAACCACCCCAAAATAACCTCAAATCCCTCCCCAAAAACATTCCAAAACCACCCCAAGAACATTCCAGAAACCACCCCAAAATAACCCCAAATCCCTCACCAAAAATACCCCAAAAACCACCACAAAAATATCCCAAAACAATAACCCCAAAAACATCCCAAAAACATCCCAAAACCACCCCAAAAAAACCCCAAATCCCTCCCCAAAAATACCTCAAAAATCATCCCAAAACCATCCCAGCCCTGAAGTGCTCGCCTTTGGAATCCCTCCTATTCCTGCTTTTTTATGCTGTTTTTTACCTTTTTTATGCTGCTTTTCAGATTTCTGCCTTTTTTTTTTTTTTTGCTGTTTTTTTTGTTTTTAAATTTTTTTTTGCCCTTTTTCAGATTTTCAGGTCTCTCCCCACTGGNTTCCTGCTTTTTTATGCTGTTTTTTACCTTTTTTTCCCATTTTTTTTTTTTTTTGCCTTTTTTTTTTTTTTTTTTTTTTTCTGTGTTTTTAAATTTTTTTCTGCCCTTTTTCAGATTTTCAGGTCTCTCCCCACTGGCTACAACATTGGCAAAGCCGTGCTGGATCAGTACCTGGCGCTGCTGGCCGATGATCCGGTGAGATTTTCCAATTTATATAATAATTTATTATTATATCTTATTGTTAATTAGATTATATTGTAATATATAGTAATATATTATTATAATGAATACTACAATGTATTATATATTTTAATATTTTGTTTTATATTGTAACATAATGTAATATGCAATATAAATATATAATATAATGTAATAATATATAATATATGTTAAATTATATTTATTACATTACATTACATTACATTATATATTAAAGATATTTTTTTCCCTGAAATCTTTCTCTTCCCACTCCAAATTTTAAGGAAAAATCATTTTTTTAAGGAAAAAATCCACATTTTCTGTGTCCTCTGTCCCTGCAGCTGGAGTTTGTGGGGAAGGCGGGGGACAGCGGAGGCGGAACCTACACTGTCAGTATCTTTTGGGGGATTTTGGGCAGATTTTGGGATTTTTTGGGTTGATTTTAGGGTTTTTTGGGTTTTTTTTGCCGACTTCAGGGGAGTTTTTTGGTGATTTTGGAGTGATTTTCAAGGGATTTGGGGATTTTTGGGTTGATTTTAGGGGATTTTTTTTGCTGACTTCGGGGGATTTTTTGGTGATTTTGGAGTGATTTTCAGGGGATTTTGGGAATTTTGGGGTGATTTTTGGGTAGATGTAGGGTGATTTGGGGGATTCGGGGGTGATTTTCAGGGGATCTTTTGGTGATTTTGGGCGGATTTTAAGGAGATTTGGGGATTTTTGGAGTGAGTTTCTTCCTCTAATAATTTGATTTAAAAGAAGGCTTAGAAAAGCATTTCATGTTTACAATTTATGACAAATAATTAGAATCCAGTATTTTAGAGCTGTAATTAACACGACTAATTATTTTATAAACTATACATGAAGGGTAGGTGCTGTAATTCACGTTCTCCATTTGAATTTCAACCGCAAGCCATAAATACGCTTCCATGTCATATTCACATTTTTGGGCAGCTTTGGGGGCGATTTTTTGGGGCAGATTTGGGGAATTTTGGATGATTTTTTGGGGCGGATTTTTTCGGAATTCTCCTTGACCTCAGCCCCTTGCAGACCTGCACAAGGCCCTGGTGTCCCTGGCCACGGCCACGCTGGAATCCATCGTGGAGGAGAGGTGAGGGGAGGGCACCTGGAGCCCCCCAGCCCCTCCCCACGTCCCTCCCTCACCCCGTTCCCCCCCGGCCAGGTTCGGCTCCCGCTGCGCCCGGATTTTCCGGCTGCTGCTGCGCAAGAAGCACCTGGAGCAGAAGCAGGTGGAGGACTTCGCCATGATCCCGGCCAAGGAAGCCAAGGACATGCTCTACAGGATGCTCTCCGAGAACCTGGTGGCCCTGCAGGTGAGGGGTGCCAGGGATTGTCCAGGTGGGACAGGTGATGGGCACTGCTGGGCACTTCCAAGTGATCCCACCTGGAATTTGGGCACGGGGAGGGATCATTGGTTCCTCCTTGGAGAAGGAGATACTTCCATTTGGTTCCCACCATCCTGCCAGTGACAGGTGATGGGCACTTCTGGGCACTTCCAAGTCATCCCACCTGGAATTTGGGCACAGGGAGGGATCAAAGGTTCCTCCTTGGAGAAGGAGATACTTCCACTTGGTTCCCACCATCCTGCCACAGGAGATAATTCCCAGCTCTGGGATCTCAGAGATTGTCCAGGTGTGACAGCTGGCCAGGTGATGGGCACTGCTGGGCACTTCCAAGTGATCCCACCTGGAATTTGGGCACAGGGAACCATCTGGGGAGGGATCATAGGTTCCTCCTTGGAGAAGGAGATACTTCCATTTGGTTTCCACCATTCCTCTGCCCTTCCCAGCTCTGGGATCCCAGGGATTGTCCAGGTGTGACAGGTGATGAGCACTTCTGGGCACTTCCAAGTGATCCCATCTGGAATTTGGGCACGGGGAGGGATCAAAGGTTCCTCCTTGGAGAAGGAGATACTTCCATTTGGTTGCCACCATCCTTTGCCCTTCCCCAGGAGATTCCCAAGACTCCTGACCACGCTCCCTCCCGCACCTTTTACCTGTACACGGTGAACTTGATGGCCGCCGCTCGGATGCTGCTCCACAGGTGCTACAAGGTGAATCCCAAGGACCTTCTGGGCCCCCAGGACCACAGATCCTTCTCCATCCATGCAGTAATTCCCAGGGAATCCAGGCTCTGTTCCAGGGAACCGTGGCAGCCCCCATGTCCAGATGTCACCATCCTGGTGGCACAGGGGTGGCAGCAGCACCGTCCTCCCCCTGTCCCCCTGTTGGGTTTTTGGGAGTGGAGGGTCCCTTGGTGCCCCCCCCAGCACACCTGGGCAGGGGTCTCACCTGGTTCCTGTCCTTCTGGAGCTCCTTCCTGCTCCAGGGTCCAGGTGTCACAGCCCCCTTGCTGGTGGTGGCACAGGGGTGGCAGTGACTGCCCATGTGGCACCACGGGGTTCTTCAGTGCTCCCCAACACCTCCGTGCTGGGTACTCACCTGTTCCTCCCCCGTTCCTCCCCCAGAGCGTGGCCAACCTGATGGAGCGAAGACACCACGAGATGCGGGAGAACAAGTGAGCTCCATGGGCCGGGCGTGGTGGCCACCAGAGAGCCACCAGCGCCACGTCCCCACATTCCCACCGCTCCCTCCTAGGAGGCTCCTGGAGAAGTCGCAGCGCGTGGAGGCCATCCTGGCCTCCATGCAGGCCACGGGGGCCGAGGCGGCGCAGCTGCACGAGGTCGAGGAGATGATCACGGGTCCCGAGAGGCAGCAGCTGGAGAACCTCAAACGCAACGTCAACAAGTGAGGGGGGGGTTGGGGACCTCACAGGGGGTTGGGGACCTCGTGGTGGGGCTACCCATCCCTGTGTGTCCCCCAGGATCGACGCCAGTGAGAACCAGGTGGATGAGACCATCTTCGTGCTGGAGGCATTCATCGAGAGCACCATGAAGAGGCCGTGAGGGGACAGGGACAAGGACAAGGGTGGGGACAGGGAGCAGATGCCTCTGCCCATGGTGCTTGTGATGCTGAGGAGAATAAAGGAACAGTTGGTAAAGCACCTGCGTGTCAGCTGGGCATGGGGACACACGGGGACACACAGGGACACGAGACACGGGGACACAGGGGACACATGGGGACAGACAGGGACACAAGAGATGGAGACACGCAGGAACACAAGACACAGGGACATGGGGACACACAGGCATGGGGACATGGGGACACACAGGACTTTCAGAAGTTGGCTGCCCACTCAGGTCCTCAGGCCCCTGAGCGCAAACTCCAGCCCTTTTCCCTGGGAAAGAAAACTCAGCAGTCCAGGTTCCTGATGTCAGTTTGTAGGGCTCCCTTGGGTCTGTCAGGGCAGCACAAGTTTGAGGTGGGGACAACTTCGGTGTGGGGTGCATCCTTCGATATAAGGATTTATTGCAGTCAGGTCCAGCCCAGGGCCAGGGGCCCCTGGGCACATCCTTTGGCCATTTTCCCTGGGAAAGAAAACTCACCAGTCCAGGTTCCTGATGTTAGTGCTTGGCATTGCCCCGGCAACCTGAATTGTATTTTGCTGCAGCTTTGGTTGTGGAGATCTGTGGTGCCCCCTCCAAATTTACATCTTTCCCTTAGCCCTGTTCCTCTCTGTCCCTGTCTCCCCCTCTCACCCCTGTCTGTTCTTCCAGCCCACCTTGCCCCTCTCCCGCCCTCTCTCCACCCATCACTCCTCTCCATCCCGCCCCTGCCCCATCCCTCACTGCCCCCTCTGCCCACCTCTGGCTCCATGCAGCCCCACATGGGAGCCCGAACTCGTGGGGATAGTGCAGCCCTGGCAGGAGGACAGCACCGAAATAAAACAGGCAGGGACGACGTCTGTGGGCTGCACGGTGCTGTGGGAATCTGTGGCATTGATGATTCCGAGATCGTAGAAAGTCTCTGAGCCCCACAGCCAAAGAAGGGGTCATAATTAGTCTCTGCTGGTTTTCAAAGTTGTTTATTCTGTTTATCTCTCACATGTTCTGCTGCCCTGCCCAGCTCTGTCCTGCAGGGCAGCGTGTAGGGCTCTGCCCTCAGTGGGATGTGACAAACATTAAATACCAGAAACTCCCTGGGCTGCATTTACAAGAACGTGCCAATATCTGTCACCTACGTTGGACAGTGTGTCCCCAGCCTGAACCAACAGAAAAATGCCAACACCACAGTGAAACATGGAGGGCATGAAGGAGGAGAAAAAGGACAAGGCACACCCAATTTCCTCCATCTTGTCCCCTTTGGACCCCTCATCTAGAACCCCACCCAGGACCCCGAAATCCCCCTGGGACCCCCAAAATCCCCCATGGGACCCCAAAATTATCCCCAGGACACCTGAAATTCCACCTAGGACACCCAAAAAACCCCTGAGACCCCACAATTCCCTTCAGAACCCTAAACACCCCCCAGGACCCACAAAATTCTACTCGGGACCCCCAAAATTCCTCCCAAAACCCCCCTGAGACCCTCAAAATTCTCCCCAGGACTCCACAAGTCCCCCTGGGACGCCCAAAATTCCCATCAGGGTCCCCGAAATTCCTCCTGGGACCCCCCCAAAACCCCACTGCGACCCCCAAAATTCCCTTCAAGACCCCAACCCCCTGTCAGGACCCACAAAATTCTACTTGGGACACCCAAAATTCCTCCCAAAAACCCCCTGAGACCACCAAAATTCTCCCCAGGACTCTAAAACCACCCCTGGGACTCCCAAAATTCCCTTCAGGACCCCAAAAACCCCACTGGGACCCCCAAAATTCCCATCAGGGTCCCCAAAATTCCTTCTGGGACCTCCCAAAAACTTCATGAGACCGCAAAATTCCCTTCAGGACCCCAAAACCTCCCCCAGGACCCCCAAAATTCCCATCAGGGTCCCCAAAATTCCTTCTGGGACCCCCGAAAAACTCCCTGAGACCCCAAAATTCACTTCAGGACCCCAGCCCCCCCCCCCCCCAGGACCCCGAAAATTCTACTCGGGACCCCCAAAATTCCTCCCAAAAACCCCCTGAGACCCTCAAAATTCTCCCCAGGGCTCCAAAACCCCCCCTGGGATGCCCAAAATTCCCTTCAGGACCCC